TGCATAGGAGTTGCACCTTTTGTTAAAGCACCTTCAAATGCTTGGACTTATCGCCTTTCCGTTCTTTCGCCTTTCTTCCACTTGGGAACTGAGTTAACTGAAAACCAATGTCAGAGTGTGTGTTCTATTGGGCTCATGAGTCAAGTCATGTCCCATGGTCCAACTTTGGAGGGAGCAGGTAGTTTCTTTTATGTCTTGCTTTAATCGTTTTATTGCATGGGTTATTTATCCAGAATCGGTCTATAGGGTGTGTTCCAGTAATGGCCGGTAAAAAGACTCTCACATACTATCGATAGTTTTGAGAAAGGCCTTTACTCATCATCTGGCACTGGGATATCCTCCTATTTAATCCCGGAAAGTGGAGCTGTTTGAGGCTACCGCAAGGTCCCCGTGAGAAACAACACGTGCCATTGGATGCACCATTTTTTTGGTTCGTGCTCCAGTGCAGACCTCCGAGGAGACCTCCGGCTTGAGCAGTGAAGCTGCAGCTGCTTTGGTGTCACAATACCGGCAGCTGGCGTCCAAAGACGTGACTTCAGCTGAACTGTGAGCTGTTCCTGTTAGGTAGCGTAGGGGTTTCCATAATAATTGGTGACCCCTTTCACGGTGCTGGTAGTAGATATATCTTGGGAATCCCTGAATTTGATGGGTTTTCTCCCAAGGCTCGAGCGACTCAGTCTTCCCATGTGGTTTCTTCACATCGGGAAGGCTGCCAGACCGGAGCCTGAAGACGCTGCAGTGATCAGGTCGTTCCCGGCCCCGCAGTGACCATAACCAGCTAGTGTTGAACTCAATGTTTGGACCCAAACATGTCCATCTCGTCATGATGTGGCAGACTTTCTCAGTTTTTTTTTGGGGGGGCTGTTTGGCAATTTGGAAGGCTAGACACCTCGCAACAGGTTTATTTCACCACCATGCCACATGCCGAAAGTTCGACCGGTTTTGTTTACAGGTTTGAACAACCACCATGCCACACGGTTTGCACGCGACCAATGGTTTTCGTTTTCTTTTGGTGCAGGATTTATCAGGTTCTCTTCAAAAGGCCAACTCCAACCGCACCACTGCTCAAACCAGGAAGGCTCCATCCTCCTGGCTGTCATGCGTGGCCGCTGTGCAGAGGGCGCTGATTTCAAGGACGAGGCCGCCCGCGCTGTGGTGGTTGTTGGTGTGCCCTTTCCCAGTGGCTTGGCTTGCGAGTTCTCAGCGGTGGAGGCCTTTTGAATTACAGTACCTGGTCGGGTTGTTATGATGTTTTCCATGTGGGTGAATGTCCTGGCATGGAGACGATGTTTGTATGGATTTCCTGGTTTTCTAATATAAGCCAATCCAAGGTGACGGACGGGGAAAGGCTCGAACACTCCACTGAACCCCCGAGTTGGTCAACGATTTTGGCCAGATGATGAGAAGAGTTGATCCTGCGTGGGAACCAGCCCAAGAGATGGTGCCTAAACACTCCCACTCGAAGTGCTGGCACAGGCCTCCCAGTTCCCACTCTTGCAAGGGGACCGAAAAGGTCCATGAACCGAACAACTTGAGTCCTGCATGCAACAAATGTGTGCACAGACAGAATTAGAGGTCAGGTTCAGAAAATCTGGTGCGTTTGCCTAGTCATTTTGGGTGAGTTTTCTGGGTGGCTCAAGCTGAAGAGCTCACAGGGCAGTTTTTTGAAGATGCCTGGCCCATCCAGAAAGGAGCTCACCCACGCGCTACCGTGAGGTATGGACACTGAAGTGCGCTTGAAGATGGAGTACGAAGGTCGACATGGCTCTGCATGGTACGAGGCTGAAGCTTACCGATCTGTGTCGCAGGCTGCGGGGCGACTGTTGAGACACCAGTCGGACTACGGATGCCTGCTCCCTGACCAGGAAAAAGAACCTTTTTGAACTCCTTTGGAAGCCTCGCATGTAATAATTGGGCGTAAGAAATAGGGCATTGGATTCCAAAAGATGTCCAGTAGGCCCGTGTTTCTTTTTTTGAGGCACTTGATGATTTCTTTTGTTTGTATCTATTTGTTGAGTCACCCGAAAAGTTGTATTGCAGTTTGGGCACCCCAATATGTGTTGATTTGTTGTGAGCTCTTTTGCCCGCCAGCAGGCTGGCACTTTGTTTAAAGAGGCCCATCCCAGATGGCCCCCACAAGCCTACTGCTGGAAGGGCATACTTTCCGGAACCGTGTTTTGTTGGTTTTTCTTGTGTGCCTGCATGGTTGCCAATCTAGCAAACATGGAAGTGGAACATACAGTGTTCCATGGATTCATGGCATGGTCAACTTTCATTTTTGTTTGTTGGAACAAATAGAGGGTGCATCTGTTTTTGGGTGTCCAAAGTGCTTTACTTAGTGAGGCTCCTGCTGGACTACAGATTTGCCGCAGAGAACCCTCCGCTGCAGCTGTCGAGCTGGCTGAGACAGGAGCTGCGAGAACAGCGCGGCAAAGGTGATGTGACGAGCAAAAATTTGGAACAGATCTCAGAAGAGCTCACTCAGTTCTTTCTCAGAAACCTGGACTTGTTTTTCACAGGTTTTCTTCGAATCTGCTTCGAACGTGGGAGCCCACCATGGCCAACCGACCGTACGGAATGGTATGTACTACTGTACTGAACGTATATTGTATGAAGTCCTCCTTCCAGCACCTTCATGTCGGGGTCACCAGGCTGGTTTCGCCCCAGCCCACTACCATCCGGGATCTCCAGCCAGGACACCCCTTTGAAGGTCCAGGTTGTTATCAAAGGTTAACTGTTGACGTCCTCGTCTTGCTGTAGTTTCCCAAACCTCCCGAGATCGGCGGTTTTCAGCATGCAGATTTCGGGTCTGTCCGTTGGTCAACCAGTAAAGCAGTTGGTCAACCATGCCAACTACTTTCAACAAGGCCTTTATATACTCATCATCATCCATTCTTATGGGTACTGGGGTATCCCCAAAGAATTGCTTTATATACACCTAGCACCTGAATGACTTCTCATTTGGACCACCCAGAAATCCCACATGTGATGATCTTTTCCCATCAAAACCAGGGGGTCATGTTTGGGTTCCACCGATCCATATGGCTTTCCGCCGATCCGCCGGGCTGCCGGATACGGCACCAGGAATGCCAGGGGGGCAGAATGCGACAGACTGTAGGGAATCCAAGAGGGAATGCACGATCTATCAGTATAGTGCAGGGTACTCCAGTAAGGAACCCCCCAAGAGGGGTTGAGAGACCGCTTCACGTTCAGACCCTGGTCTGTGCTACATATGGGATGGGCGATATATAGGGGCTGCTCAACCTCTCTAGGCCGGTGGCCCAAAGAACCCAGGAAATGACGCGGCCCAAGAAGTGCTTCAGCGGCGGGTGGCCCAAAAATGGAGCGCCAGACAGCTGAGCGACAGCAAGTGACATCAGAGAGCTGTGTTCTCAAGCCGCCTGGTTGGCTGTTCCTGCTTGGCTGTTCTGGGTGACTCTGGACGTTCGTCTCCCACTGCTAAGCCCACCAGATCCCAAGGGTGTTCCCCAGATGTGATCTGGGCGCCCTGTGACCCACCTGGTGCCCCAGCTGGCACATCTGGAACTGACACAAAGGGCGCCCGATCTGCCCTGTGGAGCTAAGCGATTGATCGGAGGAGTCAGTAGATGGCATGGGCCTTCAGGTTTATTTTGCAAGTTTCACATATAATGTGTTTCATTTGTCTTTATCTTCATTCAGTTTTATATAAATGGATTTTACTAATGCTCACAAGACTCACAGCTTTATCTTGATGGCTTTTATTCTTCACCAGATGAGTCACATCAATGATTCTGAAGCTGTGTAGCTTGCCAACACCTGCAGCTTCTCCAATCACCAGCAGCCTGAAATAGCTGATTCCTAGGACTCCAACCACCATTAATTTATGTAATAACTGGTTTTACCGAACAACCATTGCTGTTGCTGCTGCTGCTGCTGCTGCTGCTGCTGCTGGTGTTGTTGTTGTTGTTGTTGTTGTTGTTGTTGTTGTGCAAAACCCGGTCTATCCCATTGAATGGTCGAAAGGGAGGTCGAATGGGTGAAATGACCTGCCGCAGCTTTGGCTTGTATAAAGACCCGGGGTCGCGACGGAGCAGAAAATCCCTCTCACCGTCGATGGCGCTGGTCGCACTACATATTTTCCTTGGAGTTTGTTTGGCATCTGCTCAGGCCTGGGCGCTAGAACATATGACCTGGATGGATGAGAGCTTCGGAGTGATTGAAAGGTTGGAAAAATAAACAGAAGATTCCTGCCCATGTAGACTCTTGCATTATGTGATTCTTCAATATTCTTCAGCAATGTCACGCACTGTAGAACAGAAGATTCTTCAATTGCAGGATGCAGAACCACAAGTCTGCAACACCCCAGCTTGTTTGGATGAAGCTGGTGAATCAGAAACGCAGCAAATGCGACGCTTGGCTTACCCAAGGTTGTTGCCATGTCCCTGAAGCAGGGCCCAGTGCTTACTGAATGCTGCTCCAGCTTTCTAGGGCTCCAGCTTTCTAGGCTCCAAGTGTTTGGGGTGGGTTTGCAGGGTCCAGTCACACCTTCGGAGGAGGTACTTGGAGCCCCAGGGGCTGTGGACCCTAAACCAAACAGGTTCGTTTGCTCAGCTGGGTTCAGGCACCGCACAGAATCGAGATGAATTCGACCTAAGACATGGCCACCGTGAGAGTCCAAATGGCTCATTTTACATCATTTGGATCATCTTAGCTTAGCGCTTTTTCATCCCCTATATGCTAGTGGTGCTTAGCGCTCTTGGTGGCTTCCCACCACGTCAGGTGGGGTGTTCGTGATTGGAAGTGCTGGACTGCAGATGGATCACCTTGGCTTTGAGAGGTTAAGAAAACTTTAAAGGACCTACTGGCGTACCCAACTAGGATAGTCAAACTAGGATCCTTCAACCTCTGTTGGTTGGTTTTGACTTGCCGGGGGAGGGGAGAAACCAAGTGCACTCGATCTTTCGTGGACACGCGACCGAGGGGTGTTGACCGCCCATCGGCGGACGGTCAGAGGTACCACCCAAAAGGGGTCCCATAATATCCCCCAGAAAGCTCGACTTTGACACCATCTCCCTACAAATCCAGTCAAGCCCGAACCTTTGGAGGCTCCTGGCACCTACATGTCTCAGTGTCTCCACATATCACCTGAGAAGATACGACTGGATGATCCCGCCTAGGGATGAATCATGATGAATCCCTGTAGGGACGGTCGTTCAGGTCTCTCAACCTCCTCTCTTCTGAGGTCTTGAGCTCTTACAGCGCAAAGTGGAGATGGGCCGCTTGGAGACCGACCCATCAGGGACAAGACCTCAACTCGGCTGCGGTGGGGTCATCGAGTTTTGACCCACGGAATATGGGTGATGTAATAAGATCTTTTGATGAATCAACCTCTCCAGACATGGATGGCAAAACCATGTAAAACCTCTGAAGAGGCTTGGGGGGGCTTGAAATACCATCAGGAGTCTACATATGTTCATGATGGTCAGGAAAAGATGCCTGCCCAACAAGCATGGTGACGTGGACGTCTTGGTCCGAAGACGCATGTTTCGTGCCCGCTTTCGTGCGCTCGCTGGACACCCGCGCGAAAGCGCGCGAAAAAGGGGTGCCTTTTTCTTTGACCAACGGAAGGTTGGGAGGCTGCACATTGTTGGGAGGCAACGGCTGCAACGGCGCGTTGATGAGTTTTGCAACTCAGTGTTTCTGACCATCACTTGGGACTGTACCTGTAATATGGGAAAAGCTCCGGAGCAGGTTCCTGGCGTGACGTTGGATTAGCGGTGGTCGTGACGTTGTCTTGGTGCCTTCAGCAAAAACATATCCTCATTCTCTTGTGGACTGACTTCCTGGAAGAATAAGCCTGCATGTGACAGGCTTGTGAGTGCGCAAATTGGTCGGAAGGACGAAGGCAACATATATCCCACTAGCTGGAGTTCTCATGTCTCAGATTTCCAACCCTAAGAGGATCTAAGAGGCCTATATCTCCTCGGATTTCCTACCCTAAGAGGCCTATGAGTGTACGGGTTACCTTTGAAGCTATAGCCAGCTCGCGTGGCGCTCGCTCGGGGGGAAGCCAAGTCATGCCCCACACCCGAGGTTCGTGGGGTCTCACCGAGGTCACACGCCCCGCCGCACCGAGCGCCGCGCCTCGAGAAGCGGCGGAGGGGTGCCGGCCGTGATCTCGGCAGCTTGGGCCAACTCAGGGACCGAGAGCCCGGCGGCTCTATACAAATTCAGGCTATATGCCGGGCTAAGGATCCAGGGATTTGGGGTATATACCCTAGGGCTCCTGGCCCACCTCCTGAGGTTCGGTGGTTGGGGTGGGTGCCAGGGGGGTCTAACCACCGAACCTGAGGATATGGTTGGAGCCCTAGGGATAATAAATCCTTTCATCCTTTCAGTTTAGGGCCTGGTAGTTTCGTTCGTTTTACCGGGTTTTTGGCCCTTGTGGTATTCCTTTCGGGAGGCATCTTGTCCCAATCTGGGCTATTTCTGACGTGTTCGCCCGAAGCTGTTTATCTCCAAGACTTTCCTGGCCCGATTCGAATCCCGTTTTGGGCCATTGTTTTGCACAAGATTTACCAACAAAGGTAGATACCCCAGGTTTTACGGGTCCTATTTACGGTCACTGAACCTCTCTGAGTACGCTACCAGGCTCCAGGTCAACCCTTTGGGTATCGGAGTATATAGATGGCCCTGCTGAGCGCGGGTGGTACCAGCCCGACCCTCCAAAAAAATAAGTGCATCAAATACAGTGCGTCGGTGCAGGAGAGTTCACCGTGGCAGGTGCATGAGAAGAGATCAATGATCCATGTTTGCCTTTTTTTAATCTATAGGCCTTATGATTCAACAGATTATGGCACCCCAAAATTTACTGTTGAACAACAAAACATATTTGTGTTGG